ACACACGTTTCTTTGGAGATAGGGTCTCACTATGTATTGCAGGCTGGCCTTAAACTCACTTGACCACAAACTCTCTGTGATACTCCTGCTTCAGCCTCTCAAGTGCTGAGCTTACAGATGTGCGCCACCATGCTCAGCTAAAAAAAAACTAATATTAAAATTTCAAATCTTCATCTTCATTAACTATTTGAAAGTATCTGCAATAAAAGCTAATCAGGTAGATAGGAGAAACAAGATACAAAAACAAAAAACAAACAAACAACCAAAGACCTCATGAATAATATCCTATCCCAGAACTAACTCTTCAGTCTCTGGACCTAAAAAAGCTGGTTCCATGCTGACAAACATATCCTCAGATTGTTCAAGTTAACTGGTTTTTGGGGGGTTTTTTTGGTTTTTTTTTTTTTTTTGGTACTGGGGATCAAACTCAGGTCCTTGTGCTTGCAAGGCAAGTGCCGGAACCACTGAGCTAAATCCCCAGTCCTTAACTGTTAATCTGTATGTATCAGGCCCAGTTTTCCTAACATTGTAAGAAGCATTTGTTGAGGCAAATGAGATGGGCAGTCCTATATTCAGATTGATTTTGAATAACCCAATTAACATAAGCAAGTCCAGGTGAATTTCCTATTAAGAGACCATTGACTGGCTGACTTTGAAAAAGTTCAGAATATACACATCAACTGTGAAATGTAAAAAGGGATCATGATGTTAAGCCATAAGCAGGCAGGAGACAGAGTTTAACCAGTATGGTTGAGAGGAAAACATTTTTTTTCTCTAAGCAAATATTATTTTGAGTAAAAAGAATTGTACATATAAAAAGCGATTTCCAACAGGCATTTTTCTGTTAAAAACTCAAGTGAATATCCTCGATTATGAAAACCAGAAAAATACCATACCTAATTTACAGTATATGTCAAACTACCATCTGTGAAAAACTGACTTAGTCCACATGTAACCTATCATTGTAACATCATTTTTTTTAAGAGTCTTTTTTTTTTTCCAGTTTTAATTGAGTTTATTGGTACATTTTAGGGATACAGTACAGTTACAATCATTGTTGGGATCTTGTACCTCTACATGACAAGTCTTGATTCTCATTTTTTCCCCTTACCTCTGCCCTCCCTTCACCCCCTCCTCCCCTCCCCATCTACAAACACTTTATTTTCATCTTTTCATTCTCTCACATTTTTTTCTTTTCCCTTTTTACTCTTCCCCTACCTATCCGACCTTCCCTTCACCTTTAGCTCCTTTCTTCCCATTTCTAAATGTCAGTAATCTTATTAGAATCTTATGCATTGTTGCAGATTATTTACACCAGGGAAACTATTCGGTATTTACACATGTGTGACTTATTTATTTCACTTAGGAGTATATCTTCAATATGTATCCATTTTCCTATGAATGAATCTATTGTGACATCTTATAAGCATTTTTAAGCCAAGAATGGTGGTGCACACCTGTAATCTCAGCACTCAGGAGGCCAACACAGGAGGACTGTGTGAGTTTAAGGCCAGCATGGGCTACATACAGCAAGATCCTATCTAAAAAATAAACAAAAAAATCAGTTTTCTCCCAATCAAAGACATATGTAAGGACTGCTGATTTATAAGATACCAGAAGACACATGAACATGTACACTGATGAATACTTGCTAATTTATTTTTTTTGTACTGGGGATCAAACTCAGGACCTTATGCCTGCAAGGCAGGTGTGATGCCACTGAGCTAAATCCCCAGCCCACTTGCTAAATTTTTAAAAGTGGCGTGGCTCTATTTTATTTAGTTCTTTACCTTATAAAATGATTAAAGGGGGAAAAATTCTTTGTTTTTTTCTTTTCAAAGTCCAAAATTAATCCCAGGGCTACTTTATCTTGCTGAGGATCCTCTGGGCCCAGGATAATATGTCATGAAACTCCTACCCTTATTCAATTCATTCGAATTCCACTGGCAGTAACAGTCCTGTTGAGCATGATGGACAGAAGAAAAGGGAAGAATCATAACAAGTACACATAATTGGACCACCTCAAGATGATCTCTTCAGTCAAAAGAAAGAGTAGATAAGTCTTTAAACAGCCAGTAATCTCAGTCAGTTTTTGTTTTCCTTTTCACATATACTCCTGCTACCACCATCAGGAATAAACAAGAGCTTTTTAGATCTGCTTTTCCAGAGCCACAAACACTTCAGCTTAGGAGAAAGGACAGTAGCAGACTGGCAGAAGTCTCACCCAGAAGAGAAGCATCAATGCTGCAGCAAACTGCCCATGCTGAGAGGTGACACCAAAACAATGGAGGCCCCAGATTAAGGACTCGGGTCTCTTTTCATTTCTGAATCCCCAACC